ATCAGTTGTTTGGTACTTAACGTACAAGCTAGAACCTGTCAGTGTCAGCTGCTTGTGACTCACTAAATTATTCCTTATGGGAAAAAAATTCTGGTACTCATCGCACCTTCCGGAACCAATTAATGATGAGTACTGAGGTACTACTGTACATTTCAGCAATGTATTGAATTCATTTTTTCTCTTCCTGCACAGAATTAGTCTCTGAATAATTTATCCTGAAATTTCTTTTTGTGTCACACAGGGATAGCATATCACCATGTGTCAATATTTTAATAGCTGTTCAAACAAAAATTATGGCTAATTGTTCAGTTAACAACAGAAATGACATTTATCTATTTGTGGACCAAGGAACATCTATTGGATGCCCAGGGAAAAACTGTTATTCTAATTTTCCACAATCATCAGTGAAATGGTACAAAGTAAGTTTTTTTTTAAGGTAACAACTCCCTTGAATCCATTCAATTGCTGTGCATTTCACGAAACATTGAAATAGCTTTGATTTGTTTGAAAAATTATAGAGAGATTGTTTGTCGTTATTTCTACTGGAATATTTTCTTTGACCTCTCAATTTAACCTTTTACCCTAATATTCCCTGGTTTCTTGAAAATCTAAGCAAGTTTGGATCTTGTGAGTACTTGGATGTACATTCAAGATTAGCCAAAGTCGAGTAGGTGCTGCTACTGGTTGGCAAACACAAAGCCATTTGGTTTTAATTTTAATTTAATTTTAAGAGCCATGGTGGTGCAGTGGTTAGAATGCAGTATTGCAGGCTAATTCTTCCAACTGCCAGCAGTTTGATCCTCACCAGCTCAAGATTGACTTCCATCCTTCTGAGATTGGTAAAATAAGGACCCAGATTGTTGGGGGCAATATGCTGACTCTGTAAAGTGCTTAGAGAGGGCTGTAAAGCATTGTGAAGTGGTATTGCTAATTGCCATTGGAAAAGTGGGATGGGGAAGGTCGTAGAATCTGGTTTCATGTAGAGTAGGATTTCATAACCTGGCACTCTTTGGCTGTAGTGGATCTCAATTTCTGCAGTTCCCAGCTAGCATGGTCAAAACCAGAAAGGGATTCATATGAACTGGAATACCACATATCTGGAGTGCACTGTACAGGGAAGGCTATTGCAGAAATAAAAGCAAATTAAAACTCGTTATTTTCATCCAAAGTTCTTTAATTATTCCTTTCATGGCTAATAATCATGATAGTTTTGTAATTCATTTGAGGATCAGAAATCATACACTTATGAATACCAGTTGCTATGAAGTATCTGGCGGTTAACTTGATAATTTGTGAATTTGCACATTTCAACCTATCATAATATTTGAGTTGTTCATCTTTATCTTTTTTTAGAATGGAATACAAGTAGAGCGTAAAAAGAAAAGACCTGGTCTACAATTCTACCACGATAAATTAGTGCTGCGTTCTGTATATGATAAAGATAATGGTACTTATACATGCGATTACATGTTGACTGACAACAGTATGCAATGGAAAATGAGAACAATACTAAATGTGCATGTTATCTGTAAGTCACTATACATAATTCAGCGTAATAAATAATTTCATATAGTGTTTTATATTTTCGCAGTGATATATGTACTATATCAGACTTTAGAGTTTATTTTGTTAAATTATAATTATATAGTAATATTTAATGACTAGTTGAATTATTTGCTTATCTTTGTCATTCCTGACTGGTCTAAGCAGTTATGACATTCCCTTCTTAAAGCAATTTACTAGAAGATAGAAACATGCTTTTTACAAACTTTTAAAATAAATTACAAAAAAATGAGATCTATATGGTAATAAATAAATAAATAAATCATTGACAACATTTCTTTTTCAAAATGGATTGAATTTTATCTTGGAAAACTTTACAAGAATGCATTCAAATAATTCTTGTTTAAGATTGATGGAGCTAATCTGCTATGGCAGATTATTATGGTAGCCCAATTATGCATGTTAAGATAATTTCAGTGGAAAATCTATATATCATATGGAAAAAGTTCAGTTGAAGGAACAGCACCAATTTAAATCCTGATTTTTTATTCTAGTAGATAGTGAGGTTGCATATGGATGGTTAAGTGTGAACATGCATATCACAAGCAAGCAAATAAAAAACATCGGTTCTAAAAGATAACACAGTATTATTTATTAGCCAGTTTCATTTTTAATGAGTTTCACAGATATGTGACATTGATTATTTATTAAATTTATATGGCACTTGTCTTGCAGTATATGTGTGTGTCTGTGTATTTGTGTAAGAAGTCTAAGAAATCTCCTGCCCATCTCACAATTTGAAAGCATACAAATGCGAGTAGATAAATAGGTATCACTTTAATGGGAAAGTAACAGCTTATAGTCATGCTGGCCATATGACCACGGAAATATCTTCAGACAATGCTGGCTCCCTCGACCAAGAAATGGAGATGAGCACCACCCCTTAGAGTTGAAAACAACTGGATAGGGGAAATTTTCCCCTTTCCCTTTACTAGGAAATACTCTGAAAAATCATTATTTTATAGAACAAATTGTTTTTCTTTGCTCTCTGCTTGACTTCAAAAGTCTGTTATCTATCAGGCTTATGGAAATAACTCTCTTCTGCTACTTGGTTGAGAAGTATGTCAAAAGTAGGGCTAACGGCTGCAAAAATCCAGATGAATGCTAGATGGTATCAAAGGATTCACATTTCTCTATTCATTATTGCCATTTAGAAATCATCCATATTTTTTCAGAGAAAATGTACTTTTACTTGTCTCAGAGGCAGAAGGACAGCAGAAGAGAAACAGGTATATCTGAGAAAGAATCAAGGCACCAGTCACTTTTTGCTATAGTCCTGTCATTCCTAAGAGGTTATGTTTTAAAATTAAAATTATTTCACAGATACACATGCATGCATGCATACACTATCTCACACACAGAGGAAAAGCACATCTTCTTTCTCTTATCCTTACCACTTTCTAAGGGGACGATTGAGAGCATCTTGTTATACAGCATCACAGTCTGGTTTAGAAGCACCACTGCTTCAGACAGGAAGGTGGTGCAGAGAGTGGTGAGGATGGCCGAAAAGATCATTGGCAGTTCCCTCCCCCATCCAGGACACAGCACAGAAGCGTTGCTTGAGCAGGGTCTGTAAAATTATCTGGGACATTACACATCATCTTCAACGACCTGTTTTCCTTGTTACCTTCTGGGAGGAGGCTTCGTGGTATCCGAAGCAGAACATCTAGATTCAGCCATCGTTTCATTCCATTAACCTTGTGAACTCTCAAGCTTCCTCCTTCCATTGTATATTCAAGATGGACAGTGTTTAATATTTATTTGTTATGTATATGTAGGAGTGTGGGTCTATACATATGTTGTATATAGTATGTTTAGGTGTGTGTCATGTATGTGTTTCACTTTGAGAGTGGGCAACTAAATTTCATTTTTGATGTGTGCCGTTGTGCCCACAGTAAAAAAATGACAATAAACATTAACTTGTCTTGTCTTGTCTTGTCTTGTCTTGTCTTGTCTTGTCTTGTCCTGTCCTGTCTCGCCTCGCCTCGCCTCACCTCGCCTTGCCTCGTCTTATCTTACATTATCTTATCTTATCTTATCTTATCTTATCCTATCCTATCCTATCCTGTCCTGTCCTGTCCTGTCTTGTCTTGTTTTGTCTTGTCTTGTCTTGTCCTACCTTACCTTACCTTACCTTACCTTACTTTACCATCTCATCTCATCTCATCTTATCTTATAGAAGTATCCTTCGACTGTGATATAGGTACATATCTGGAATAAAAGTTTAGCCTCTGGAACCAAAAGCTAAAAAAAGCTTTACAGAACTTACTTTTTTGAAATATATATATTTTATTAATTTTTTACAATAACAATCTTTAATGCTTCATGAACAGTGTGTTGTCTGGGTTCATATATTTAAAACAATGATAATTAATTTCTACAATTAATATGTTGGTAATATATTTCTTGATCCTTTCTTCTTCCTGTAACATTCTCCTTTTGTCTACATTAAACAAATATAATTCTTAATATTTTCAGTATATACCAAGCTGGATATAAAACATTTTTAGTATTTATGCATATAATAGTAACATCAACATATAACATGTTTTTAATCAGCTTGTTTCCATTGTATTTATAAAAATCATCTTATTAAATCATTATATGTCCTGTTTTCAAGATTCTTATTGAAGCTTAGTTTCCCCTCAGTATTCAGACCACACTTATCAATCATAATTTTCTCAAAATCATTAGCTTTAAATATCCAAAGTTTTCATTTAAATAGACCCTCTCAATGTTTTAACATTTCACATATTCTAAAAGTATTATACTACTTATATACCTTATTCCTCTTACTATAGGGCCCCTTTTCAAGCTTTATCTATTCCTTTGGCCATATTCCAACAATATTTAATCCTATAATACACCATCTAATAATCTTTCTCTAGGGCCTCTTCATATCCATATATTTATTAACCATATTCAAACAAGTGTTTAGTCATATAATATTCCATCTGATAGGTTGAATCACGTCTCTTGACTCCAACTTTAATCTTCTTCTTTTGCCAGGTCGCTTTCCAAATCAGTAAGTTTGGCTTGCCAGGTTGTATTTTTGTAAGTGTTGTTGGGGACCAAAAAAAAACCAAATCAAGTAAAGTATCAAGTTTTTGTCTCCCACGTTTTAATGATTCTTCTGACAGTTCTTTAATCCATTTTATTAGTTCTTCTATTTTATCCTCAGATTTGTTTTGAAGTCCTGGAGGATAAAGCATTTTTTTTGTCTCCTTTATTACAGTGAGATTTTGTAGATTTTTTTAAAAATTAAATTGTAGTTTTCTTTATTTGTAGCTTTTCTATTTAAGTCACTTTCATTTAATTTATGTTCTGTTGTCTGATTTGTTGGTTCATTCTTTGTTGTCATTTTTTGAGTGTTATTTAGTTGTAGGTTTAAGTTAGAGATATTGTCAGACTTATTTCTAATCTCATCATGGTTTGAAACAATTATTGTTTGAGTCTGTCACAGCATTGTGTATATTTTCTCCTGGAATGCATTTGTTTTGTCTTGAGTCATTGTTCCTGCAGATCTTAGAAGCTCCAAACTGGGGTGTTGGGTATGGTTTTCTATCATTTTTAGATAGGTATATAATATCCATTTTATCTAAATAGTTTTTCATCGGTGTCATAATCTTTTTAATTAGCTTTATCAAGCCAACCCATCTTAAAATCCAAACAGCCAAATCTTTATATAATGGCTTTATAATCCAACATGTTTCCAATTGCCAAGGCACCACTGAAAACAATATTTTGTGATGGTTCTTCTTTTCAGGGGTCTTGTAATTATCAACCAGTCGGGATTCAGTCCAAAGTATTTGACCATCTAAAAATTTTCCAGTAATTTCTCCTTTAGAAGATTAGCCAAAGGCCAAGATTTTTCTTTCTCTGCAAACAGTTCTTATGCAGATTGGTGTGTTTATAATCCCAGAATGTCAGCAGTTTCTAAACATATGTAGTTTCACTCAGTAGTAGATAGCTCAATGCTTTGTTCCCAGCTGTTTTTTGCTATTTCTAGGCGTCTTGCCAAATTCTGGGTCAATGCTGCTATAGTTTTCTCTAATCCTCCACTAGATGTCACTGTTCATTTTTCAACTTTTTAAAACAAAGAGTTATTTTTGTTCTTCCTTTTCAGGTATAGAGTTTTAACAATTTTCTTAGCTTTCAAATTTACCCAAACTGTAGTATTTTATATTTTTACTCCCCATAAGGATTTAATTTGCCGCTTCCATCTATAGAAGGGTGAGGTAATCTCTTCCCTTCTCACTTTGGGAGGCTTTTTGCTTCTTGGGGAACTTTTCCAGGAAACCAGATATAAAATAGGAGAGAGAAGATCAAATTCCTCACCTAGTTTCAAGCATGCTGTTCACAGTTGTGCTGGTTAGTGCCTTTGGACTTCAGCTGCAAATAGTTTGGACTGGACAACAAAGTGTGACCAGCCTTTCTCCTGTCGGGTTAGAAGTCTTTCCCCGAATCGAGGGAAATGACCGCCATCATTCCAGAATCATCGGGGCACCCTTCTTTTCTTTGCCATCTTTCTGGGTTGACTTAGACCCATTTAGGGTCCTCTGGCAGGGCAAAACTAGCTGTGGGGTGCGGAGAGCCGCAATCCCATGACCGGGTGCTACGGCACAAACCAGAAGTCTTTACAGAACTCACTTTTGCTGAAAGTACTTAATCCTGGAAAGAAATTGCTTGCAATATTTCAGCTAATTAAATGATAGCTGGTGTCATTCCACCAATTAAGAGGTATCTTGTCTGTATTTTCTCATGGATCTCTCTATTGTAACCTAGACATGCATTGAACATGTTAAAGATAATTTATTTATTTTTTAACTTCTAACACACCATTGTTTTAGCAAAAGACACTATCCATCCTCCAAAGATTTTGAATCCCAGTGATGAGACAACCCTTGAAGTAGAAATTGGTAAGAATTAAATTTTCACTTTTATTTTGCAACTTATGAGATAATAGGTATCTTACATTGACTGCATTCCACTTTAAGCTAGAACTTAATTTTAGTCAAAATGGACTAGTTGTGGGTACTTTTGGATTACTTATTTTATGATATAAATCATAGATTGTCTATTATTTTAGCAAAATAGTAGGATTCTATTCTGAAATAGGGGAAAAGTCACAATTTATTCTCTCAGCTGGTAAACAGCTGCAGCTTAAAACTATGAATTTCATAGAACAGTTGCAATGTATAGATTCAAGAGTATATTACCAGCATTTCAAGGGACTGGACATTATATTTTAAAGTCCTAAATGTGTTGGAGTCTTAGATATTAGGATCTTTCTGGGAGAAAGCTTTTTTTTAGATTTTGTAATACTAAGTGTAATAAAGGGGAGAAATATAACTTATTAAAATGTAGGCAAGTGCCTTCTCTGCAGCCATTTTAGTTTATAAGTTCCTTATTGGCATCCTTCCTCCCACTACCCATGTACAACATATTTTTGTTTTTTAAAAATGACAGATGTTTGACTTTTCAGTTTGTGGAATTGTTCTCCCTTCAAAGTAGTCCAGACAAGAAGCTGATCCAAGAGTATTACATGTATTGTAAGGTTACATTAACATAACCTTGCAACTCCTAAAGTACTTTTCACTTTTACAGTCCAATAAACATCCCTTCTGAGATGTTTGTCATGCTCCATTACTTCTGTAGACTCATCTGTCTCTTATCTGACCATTGCCATCTATGGCTCTTCATCCTATCTCCTAAGATCATTCCCACTTACCATAACAAGAATGTATAGTTTTATTATTCTATAGCAATTTGCTCTAATTAATATGTGTCCACAGCATTACATTAGAAGACTCACATTTATCATATTAAATGCAACATTTTTCAAATATGTCACAGTTAAAACCTAATAGGAGAGACACAGTTTGATATATTGGTTAAGACATCAGGCTAGAAACTAGAAGATTGAAAGTTCTAGTCCATTTTAGGCATGAAGCCATTCACAGTCTCACAGCCATAGAAAGCAAGAAATGGCAAATCCTTCTGAAAAATCTTTCCAAGAAAACTGCAACTGTCCAAGCAGTTGCTAGGAATCAAGACTTACTCAAACACACATACACAAATACAAACATACACCCAAACACACATGCCTCGTATAATTATTATCCTATGTGCTTCAGTATCACCTCCTTTCCATCAAGTGCATGAAAGAGAGATTGGAAGTGGTGTGTGATGGAATCTAATGAAAATAGTAAATATACTAGTCTTTAAAATGCAACAAGATTTTTTTGTGTAAAAAACCCCATAGCTACATGAGTTATTTTTTGAAGAACCTTTGTATACGCTACTTAATATTAATAATCTGCAAATTTTCAAATCCTATGTAAAGAAACTCATAACCATTTGCAAACTACTCTAAAATATTTTCTGATCTGTGGAAAATATACATGCTGGTTTTCCCCCACCCTCATCTTTTTTATTTTTTAAGGTCAACCGATTGATCTTGAATGCAAAGCACAATTTGGTTTTGAAATGAATGTTTCCTCCTCACTACAATTGTACCGAGAAACCAGTAAAAGCAAACAACTGATACAGCAAGACAGGTAGGGAAAGAAAGTGTCTGAATTGAAAGAAAGAAAGAAGGAAGGAAGGAAGGAAGGAAGGAAGGAAGGAAGGAAGGAAGGAAGGAAGGAAGGAAGGAAGGAAGGAAGGAAGGAAGGAAGATTTAGATTTAGATTTAGATTTAGATTTAGATTTAGATTTAGATTTAGATTTAGATTTAGACATATCTATAAAACTCTTACCTGAAATTCCAAGGAGTCCAGGTGCTCCTTGGAGACTTTGGATGCATTTCCCAAAGTTGTCATCAAACTGTATTTTTAATGTTATATTATTAAATATATCTGAGTAATCAGATTAAAAGTAATCAAAGTTACTTTTAATCTCAGTTAGATGCAGTCAGTTTTAATTTTTTAAATCCCAAATATTAATTTTTAAATTGCTTAAGAATTTTAATCCCATCACAAGATTTTTGGGGCATGACTCCTGACATGTTATTCAAAGACAAAATGTGGTCCTCAGTATGGAAATTGTTCTGTATCTCAGACATAAAATATATGTCTTCTTATACTGCAGATGAAATTACAATTTTTTTTATAAGATCCAGTACATAGCTGTAACTTTTCTATTGCCATCTCAATCTTCTTTAACTTGCCCTACTCTGCGAACCCTTAATTCTGCTTATATTTTTTCAGGGTTTTTTTTGGTTTGGTTTTTATACTTGCCAATAAATATAACAAACAGAAAGGAATATGAACATGCAAAGGTCAGCATGATTTAGTAGATACTGTAGATTATGAAACTTGCAAATCATGGGATCAGAAGCATAAGATTGTGGCCTATTATGTTTTTACATCTCTCTCTCTCTCTCTCTCTCTCTCTCTCTCTCTCTCTCTCTCTCTCTCTCTCTCTCTCTCTCTCTCTCTCTCTCTCTCTCTCTCTCTCTCTCTCTCTCTCTCTATCTATCTATCTATCTATCTATCTATCTATCTATCTATCTATCTATAATCTATCAAATTTAATCAGTTGCCCATCTCTCAAAAAGCAATTCTGGGCAGCACAGAACAATCAAATAAAACAAATGTAAAAAACAACAGATATAAAATATATTATATTATCATATTAATAAATATGATAAAACCCAAAGATTTTTAAGTGAATTATCCCTCAGTTCATTTCTTATTAAATCCTAATATGGCTTGTTTGATTTTAGGCCTATGAGTTTTCCTAAGGTTAGTCATTTAGTTTAACAATCTTGTTTGGGGTTTAATTTTTCATTGGCTTTATTCAATCAGTTTAATGCATAAATTAGCTATAGGAGTTGGGGGAATTAATATTAAGTGGGTCAGTGTATAGCATGTTAAGATTCATACTGGAAAGATGGATTATAGAAGAACCATATTAGCACTTGAGTGGCAGATTCATGAGGTGGCGTTTGGAAGACCATGTTGACCAACCATAAATAGAGTTGTTTTTTGTTAAAAAGAACAAGAGTTTCAATGTGACTGGTAGATGTGACTGCCACAATTTTTTATTCTTTTTTTTTCTGACATTGTAAAGAGTCCTGTCTATATATTTAAAATATTTGTTCATGGGTATCATGAAAAGCTGTAAATGTTTGCACATGGATGGAAGCATGACTGATGATTGATGAGAGCATTATTCTGTTTAGAGTTCATCCACAGGGACTGGATGGACAAACCTTTACTCTTACCTTCAAACTGACAAAAGTAACTGAAGAAAATCTAAACAGCCACTTCATCTGCTTGGCCCAAAATTCTATTGGGAATGCTACTGGAGTGATCAAACTTAAGAGGCAAACAGAAAAAGGTAAAACTGTCAAACCACTAAGATAATATCACTGCTCTACTTGACGTCATTAACACTTTTCTTTGGTTTTCTGACCTATTATGTTATGTTATGGGGTAAATATCTACATGAATTTCATGAGCCTTAGCTTCAATTTCCTATTATAAAAACAGTTCCAGTTTCTTGTGCCATATTTGATAGCTGTTGTTCTTCATTTTCTAATGAATCCATATACTCAATCACAGGGACTTTTTAAAAGGGGCTGCCAGGGTCTATCTGTGAAGTTAGATTGTGAGTGACATGAAGACAAGAGGTTTCCTTCCTTCCTTCCTTCCTTCCTTCCTTCCTTCCTTCCTTATGAAGAAATACAGGTAGTCAGGTAGTCCTCATTTAATGACTGCCTTTTTTTTTTTGCAATCATTCACAATTAAGGTAGTGAGGAAAAGTAACTTTGCAACCAGTCTTCACATTTACAACCTTCATGGGTATGTGAAGCAAAGAAAAATTGAAGTAACATCATAAGCACAGTTTCAGTTTCACTTAATGACTGCTTCATTTAAAGACTGAGTTGTGGTTGCTAAATGAGGACTACCAGTATATGGCTTCTCAGATGAAAATCTTGGATAAAATTAAGTAATCTTCCTTGCAGGCAGTTAAGACTCCTTGAGGATCTAGGAATACATCTATTTCTTCAGTGGGCAAGTTCAGGTCATCATCCATCACATCCTTCCCCAACTGTTATACTTCATCTTGAACTTCACCATTAATCATTAACTTCATCATTAATTTTGTATTATGTTTTATCTATTTCTATTTTCTCTTTAGCAATTCATTTCTTGCTTATTTTGTGTGGCACTATTATAATATTATTTGGAGTGGTTTCAGGAGGCCTGCTGATTTATAGCCACTGGATTGAACTTATATTATTCTATCGGAATTACCTAGCCAAAGATGAAACTCTGAGTGGTAAGAATGTTTGATTTACAATAGCATTTAATGGCCAATTTACTAATGGGAGGAGATTGGTCAATACTACTGGTTCTTATCAAGAGAGAGAGAGAGAGAGAGAGAGAGAGAGAGAGAGAGAGAGAGAGAGAGAGTCTCTCTCTCTCTCTCTCCACCTTACGTATATTTGCTCCTACCTCACTTACCCATTGTCTCTAAGTATCTTAACTTGACATACAGGGATCTCAGCAACCCATTCCCAAATATTGAATACTAATACAATGAATACAAAATATTCATTTTTATAACAATCCCTGGTTATAGAATTGAGCATGTATTATAATCTCTCCTGACCCAGTAAATGGAATATTGGACTGAAACCTAAGAAACCATTTTTAAAATCCTGTCTCCCCTCCCATCCCCAATGCAGAGGTATACTGCAACAATATTCAACAGTCTGTAGAATATGAATAATAACATTTAGTCATAATTTGGAAAGAAATTATTATTAATAAGCATTTACCTATAATCTTATAACTCATCAATCAGATATGGTTAAAGGAAAATTAGGGAAATTAGGAAGGATGGAATTTTCAGTATGAATCAGGCTGTACCAGAAAAAAAACCCAAACCAAAACACTGCACATGCCCACATTTCTTAAAACTTGACATAATCCTTCATAAAAAATATTGGAGGAGAAGAGAAAGAAGGAGGAGGGAAGAATTGCTAGGAATATAGCCTTGATGAATGTGCAGCGGCTGTTACAGAATCCTGTTAACTAAGATGTTTTTAATATTAGTTTGCCACAGAGGTATTAAATTCAGGAAATGAATTTAGGTCAAAAGTTTCATTTTCTAAAAAAATGAACTTTCATCTCCCCCCCTCTTTTGATCCTTTCTTTTAAAAGTTACTTTCTCATTTTTTGGCTAAAGATAAAACTTTCTATACACTGTTTTTATAATAAAAATATATGATCACTTTCGGACACCTGAAAGGAGCTGGTAGCAAAAGCATTTGTTTTCTTGTGTTCTTATTGTCAAGCAATTCTGAATTATTATTTTTTTATAAGCTAGTTGTGAATGTAGAACAAACATACCCTCATCAGTGATCTGTTGAATTAAAAATGTACAGAACTAAAAAGTAGAAGATAAAAACTGGTGAGTTATAAGCAAAAAATTGCCATGCTATGTATTTATGAATGTGTGTGTATGCTTATTATGTGCATGTGTGTGTGTGTGTGTTTGTGTGTGTGTGTGTGTGTGTGTGTAAAAATTATCACCATAGTTTTTATCTTCTACTTTTTAGTTCTGTACATTTTTAATTCAACAGATCATGCCCCAAATTTCAGAGATAAGCAGGAATTTGAATCAAAATATCTACATAGCATAGGTCAGTTCCAAATAATAGTATCAGTCTCTGATGAAGATTTGAGTCATTTTTTCCTTTATAATATTTCTTCAACTGAGTATTGTCTAGATATGTTAAGACTTCAAATGGCTGTGAATTCTGCGAGTTGAAGCCTAATGTACTGTAGTTGGAGTTGACTCCTGGGTGCGTTTCAAAGTGCTGGTTGTTTCCTATAAAGTTCTTCATGGCATAGGTCTTTGTTATTTGAGGAACTGCCTATTTCCTATTGTTTCTGCCTGTATGGTACATTCAGGCAGAGTGGATACACTTCACATTCTCTCCATTAAATATTACCATCTTGTGGGATCAAATACGTGTGACTTCTATGTTGTTGCCCCTTCTCGCTGGAGCAGCATCCCTCCAGAGGTAGATATGGTGCCCAGTCTTCTGGATTCTGGAAGGATTTTAAGATTTGGCTCTGTTCTCAGGCCTTGAGTTAGTGCATCTGTGAAATCCCTGTTGTTTTTTATTAGTATGGTTATTTTTAGTCTAGGCTGCCATGTTTGTTTCATTATTTTCACAATTTTCACAATTTTAATTTATGTTTGGATAAATTTTGGAGTGGGTGTTCATAATAAATTTAATAAATAATAATCATAATTGTTCTGTAATTTCTTATTTGCACAAGATTTTAACACAATCAATATAAAATGGTTTGATTTTTGCATGTTACAAATTGCCATTCATAAATTTTCTGTCTATAATTTCTAAGCATTGGTGCTGTATGCCCATTTAGATATTCTGCATGCTGTACTTTAATCTAGATATGGAATCACTTCATTTTCTATAAGAAAATGCTCCAAGATCAGAATTTATGACCATTAGAGGATTAAGAATATTGATGCAGTAGTTAACTCACTGCTCAGATGGCTTAAAGATTTTGTTTTAGAGCAGCCTCTGCTGGTAAAATGTATTAAATTCTCTAGCAATATAGGAGGGGTGGGATTCAGCTGGTTTGTACCAGTTTGGCAGAGCCGGTAGCTAATTTTTTTGTTGCCCAGGCCTAGAACGGACTTCTGGAAGTGGCATCCATACAGAGAACCAGTTGTTCACATATTTGAATCCCACCACTGGATATAGGTTTTAAGTCAAAGAATAATGTGGCATCATGGAGTGCTTGACTGAAATTGCAGAAAGCTTGGTTTAATGCCCTCTTTGCCCAGTAACGCACAATGTCGCTGTGGGCAAATTATGACTTTTTGACATTGTTTGGAGGTACATAGTATATATGAAAGAAGAGGCATGTATATTTTTTTGATAGTTATGAAATTTTCATTTGGAACTTCAATGTTATTTTCATGAGTATGATTTTGTAAACAAGGAATTAGAATAAGAAAATAAATTAATTTTGTGTGAGAGACAGGCTTCTTTATCTTATTTTTATTACTATTTTATTTTCATAATAAGAATTAAG